GGTAGTGGTAGAGGAAGGGCCCCGACGTTGGTGGAAGGAGACAAGGTCGAGGCCAACTTCCGAGGTCGAGGGAGATTCTATCCGGGACGAATCGGCAGGGTCAACTTGGACGGGACCTTCAATATCGACTATGACGACGGTGAGAAGGAACGCGGGGTCACAGACGATCTGATCCGGGCCAGCGATCGAGGAAGCTCTCACCGCGACGAGGGCCGAAGCGTTGGAAGCGCCAGGCTCGAGAGGGGAGACAGAGTCGAGGCGAGGTACCGCGGGCGGGGCACCAAGTTCTACAAGGGCAAGATCTCGCGGGTCAATTCCGACGGCACGTTCGATATTTCCTATGATGATGGCGAGAAGGAGATGGAAATTCCGGCGGAGCACGTGCGGTCTTTGGAGCCGCAACGAAACGCAGACGAAAATGACCTGAGAGGAAGCGGAATGGTCAGGGGAGACAGGGTGGAGGCGAGGTACCGCGGGCGAGGAACCAAATTCTATAAGGGCAAGATCTCGCGAGTCAATTCCGACGCGACTTTCGACATAGCTTACGATGATGGCGAGAAGGAGATTGGGATCGCGGTGGAGCACGTTCGATCTTTGGACCGGCCAGCCAGTGCAGATGGACGTGGTCCGGGGAGGAGGGCTTCGACGTTGATGAAAGGGGACAAGGTCGAGGCCAACTTCCGAGGTCGGGGGAGATTCTATCCGGGACGAATCAGCAAGGTCAACTTGGATGGGACCTTCAATATTGACTATGACGACGGTGAGAAGGAACGCGGGGTCACAGATGATCTGATCCGGGCCAGCGATCGAGGAAGCTCTCACCGCGACGACGGTCGAAGCGAGCAAACCAGCAGGCTCGAGAGGGGAGACAGAGTCGAGGCGAGATACCGCGGGCGGGGCACCAAGTTCTACAAGGGCAAGGTCTCGCGAGTAAACTCCGATGACACCATGGACATAGCCTACGATGATGGCGAGAAGGAGATTGGGATTGCGGCGGAGCACGTGCGGTCCTTGGAGTCGGCACCCAGCCCAAGTGGCCGTGGTGGTAGTGGTAGAGGAAGGGCTCCGACGTTGGTGGAAGGAGACAAGGTCGAGGCCAACTTCCGAGGTCGAGGGAGGTTCTATCCGGGACGAATCGGCAGGGTCAACTTGGACGGGACCTTCAATATCGACTATGACGACGGTGAGAAGGAACGCGGGGTCACAGACGATCTGATCCGGGCCAGCGATCGAGGAAGCTCTCACCGCGATGAGGGCCGAAGCGGGGGAAGCGTCAGGCTCGAGAGGGGAGACAGAGTCGAGGCGAGATACCGTGGAAGGGGGACCAAGTTCTACAAGGGTAAGATCTCGCGAGTCAATTCCGACGGCACGTTCGATATTTCCTATGATGATGGCGAGAAGGAGACGGAAATTGCGGCGGAGCACGTGCGGTCTTTGAAGTCAGTTGAGGCCGCAACTGGTGAGAGAGGAAGCGGGATGGCCAGGGGAGACAGGGTCGAGGCGAGGTACCGCGGGAAGGGAACCAAGTATTACAAAGGCAAGATCTCGAGAGTCAATTCCGACGACACATTCGACATAGCCTATGATGATGGTGAGAAGGAGATTGGGATCGCGGTTGAGCACGTTCGATCTTTGGACCGACCAACCAGTGCAGGTGGCCCTGGTCGGGGGGAAAGGATGACCAGGGGCGATAGAGTCGAGGCGAGGTACCGTGGAAGGGGGACCAAGTTCTACAAGGGCAAGATCTCGCGGGTCAATTCCGATGACACCATGGATATAGCCTACGATGATGGTGAGAAGGAGATTGGGATTGCGGTGGAGCACGTGCGATCGTTGGAGCCGCAAACCAACACAAGCGATAGTGACACGAACAGAAGCAGGATGGCCAAGGGAGACAGAGTCGAGGTGAGGTATCGCGGGAAGGGGACCAAGTTCTACAAGGGCAAGATCTCGCGAGTCAATTCCGACGCGACTTTCGATATATCGTATGACGATGGTGAGAAGGAGATTGGGATTGCGGCGGAGCACGTGCGGTCCTTGGAGTCGGCACCCAGCCCAAGTGGCCGTGGTGGTAGTGGTAGAGGAAGGGCTCCGACGTTGATGGAAGGAGACAAGGTCGAGGCCAACTTCCGAGGTCGAGGGAGATTCTATCCGGGACGAATCGGCAGGGTCAACTTGGACGGGACCTTCAATATCGACTATGACGACGGTGAGAAGGAACGCGGGGTCACAGATGATCTGATCCGGGCCAGCGATCGAGGAAGCTCTCACCGCGACGAGGGCCGAAGCGGGGGAAGCGTCAGGCTCGAGAGGGGAGACAGAGTCGAGGCGAGATACCGCGGGCGTGGCACCAAGTTCTACAAGGGCAAGATCTCGCGGGTCAACTCCGATGACACCATGGACATAGCGTACGATGATGGTGAGCAGGAGATTGGGATTGCGGCGGAGCACGTGCGGTCTTTGGAGCCACAACGAAACGCAGACGCAAGGCTCGCGTCTCGGAGCAGGAGCCCGACCACCCGTCAGGGGCGAGATGACAATGCAAGCGAGGACTTTGCCGAGGGTGATAAAGTGGAGGGGCGTTTCCGCGGACGATCACGCTGGTTCAGGGCAACGGTGGAAAGGAAGAACAGAGATGGAACGTACTGGCTTGTTTATGCCGATGGGGACGAGGAACGAGCGGTGGAAAACAGCCTTATTAGAAGACTTCGAGGCGATGGCGGTGGTGGTGGTGGCAGTTCCGCAGTCGCATCGCCAACAAGCCGCTTCAAAGCGATGGCTGGTCGTGTCAGCGCGAGAAACACGATAGACGATGAGCAGGTGCCGTCTCGCCGAGGTATACAAGGCAGAGAACCAAGCTCCAGCCGTCGTGATAGCGGAAGAGGATCGAGGTACGATTCTGAAAACGGTGTCGACGATGGTGACGGTCCGACGCTTCTCGAGGGTGACCTTGTAGAAGGCAACTTCCAAGGCCGGGGGCGGTTTTACTCTGGGCGAATTAGTAGAATCAATCTCGACGGCACGTTCAACATCGATTACAAAGATGGCGAGAAGGAGCGGGGGGTGAAGAGGGAAATGATTCGCTCCGTCGACAGCATTCCTGCCGGGGCACGCCGAAGTCGAAGAGGCGGTAGCTACCAGTGAGGGGTTCGCGGCGGCGGCGTTGGCAGCGTTGATGAAGGAATAGGGGTTTGCCGACAATAACTTTTGAGGTGATGTGATGGCGTTACGTGGCACCTGTTCAAAGGGACGGTGAAGATGAAAGATATGAAGTCAAGCTCGAACACTGAGAGGGAAACGTTGAGGCCGGGTCCCGTAGGGAAATCATGAACCGCCGAGGAGGGCGTCCATCTCCACGGCACAGCACATCGAAATAAATCTCACTACGGTACTGCTGTGTTGGCGGCTGTGCCGTTGTCGTGGAATGCACCACCAGTCGTCCCATGCAACAACCCTCGCTTGTGCCTACGTACAGAGTTCCGCATATAGGCACGACGTAACGCGACGATCGACATGTATCCGTTGTGGGTCTCGGTCCGAAAGCACAAAACATGGTCCTTGTTACGCAGCCCGCCGCCGCCCTTCTTCTCGATGGTGTTGGGTACCTGACTTCATTAATCCCAACTTGACTCAACAGCACCATAGAAAAAAACAAGCATCGCCCCGTCGACAACTGCGGCGTCAAGTCAAGGTGCTAGCCCTTTCTGAGAACGACATTTGGGGGAAACGCAAGGGAAAAGAGGTATCATAGGTGTACCTTATGCCAGCTGGTATTTATCCAGAAACTCACTTGCCAACGTATCGTCTTGGAGAAGCAAATCACATGGGGTACTTCCTGGGCAACCACGGAAAACCTCAACAGTGCTAACCTTGACACAAAAGTAACCCCCAACAGTACAGCGCGCTGCGCTTTGCCCGCTCTAAACCTCCGCAACCGCAACGACCGAATCCGTCCGAGCGTTCGATGACGATAAACCAAAAAACGACGCAACCAAAGTGGGAAATTTTGCGTTGTTGCCCAGAGTAGAGCAACGAGAAAATAAATATATTGCATGTCAGAATACAGAAACACTTTCCTGAAGTCCACGGAAAACGAGAGTGTACAGGCAAATAGGTCAGAGAAGAATTCACGAAAGCTAAGACAGCGCCGCACGCCAAAATAAGGCCCCACGTGGACAGCATTTATCGCTACATATCAATCCAATCGTAACGATTAAGCAGACCACTTCATTCCTGTCATGGCAGTTTCGTAATATCCTTCGAGCACACCCCGGAGGGCACCTACAAATAGTTTGTGAAAAAGAACGCCCGGGGCGAAAAGTAACTTCCCCGAGCCTGTTTCTCTCTCCTGATCAGTCCACAGAAAAGTAATGTTCCGACAAACCCATATCAGGAGTGCTCGAACACTGCATTACAGCGGAAGAGGTCACCTTGACACATCCACCTCATGCCGTGTCAGATATATCTCACTTCGTGATGCCAAGCGCGTCTTCCTTGTGGTCCCAAGCAGGAATTCCCGTGGAAACGGCTGTGAATCCTTCCGCCATCAACGTCAAGCTACCCAAGCGCCTCTCTTTTTTCATTTTCACGACGAAGACGCCCCTGCCTGTCCCTGCCGATCACCTCCGTCGCCATCACAAGCACCGCCACCGCCGCCACCCACCCCTTCCCGCACAAGCTCGTCTCTCAGCTTGAGCACCGTTGCAAGCCGAAACATCCCCGACTGTCCCCACCCAGCCTTCCCCCTCGCGACCGCCGGCCGAAACGACTCGTAAAGCACCATGGCGCGTATCGACGTCTCAACGTGTCGCTGAGGTATCTCCGCCGCTGCAGCCATTGGGGATGAACAAGGAGAGGAGCGGGTAAGAAGGCGGGTATATACGCAACACGGCAGTTGGCGCTACGGTCCAGTGCCGCTTCCGCTTGCATAGACTGTAGGGTCACGACGACAACAGTCCCGGGGGAAAAGATAGAAGCGTAGAAGGGGGGGTAAGATATACCAACGCAAAAGCAAAACAACACGTAGAGGCCGTACATCTGGGAAGACTTTTATCGTCCGAGGATAGTCTACAACAGCAACACCCCCGCTTGTAGACCACAGCGCCGGACGGATATCACAATGACAGACGTGAGATTCTCAGAGACCAACCGGGTTGACACAAGATGCAAACTGCCGTTAAAGCTTCGTGAGCTTAGATGTGACGGTCGCTTCGTACAGACTCTACGGAGGGTGCCCACCAGAAAACAAAATCAGGCAAAGAAGAACCTCATGGCTTACCTAGAGCCCGAAGGGACGCACGTGCGGGTCCCAGGTTGACTCCATAGGCCTTGCAAAGGAAAGTGTGCACCCTTTTCGCTGGCACAACCTTGCCTTTGCTGATCGCACGCCACCCGCCCTCCGTCCGGCGAAGCGTAAAGTCTTGTCCCTTTTTGATATTGTAAACACGAAACATAGAATCTCAAATGGTGAGAACCACCGACAAAACAACAGTTCATCAGTTGGGTTGGAGCTGGCTGGCGTGTCCATTGGCCTCCATGGGATAGACTGTTGTTTTGTTGCTCTAGGGAGAGATTGCCTTGAGCACCGCTTCTCTACTCAACTGTAACTATTTACAACTGGCGGAGGCATGGTGCAGCGGGTAGTAGGAGAAGCCATTGCATCATGCAGCGACGTCAGACATCATTCTTTCTATTCCAAGCCTGACGATCAACACCGTGTCACACGCTCACCATCATCTCCACAGTACGGGTTGGAAGGTCATCGGTTTCCTCCATCGCTGCTCGCTCTGCTTCTTCATCCGCCTCCAACAGGCCTAGATGCTCCCCCTTTTTCAGCGCCAACCAATCCGCGACAGCGCGACCAAGCGTGATCGCCTCACTCCAATCGAACGATAGTCGCTGTGCCACCTCCTGTCATATCGTCACCAAAAACAATCAAACCGATGTACTGGTACCAGGTTCTTTTTTCGACCAAGTCGTGAAACTTTTTATCAGAAAATCAGAAGCGAGGGATGAGCGAATCCTTGCCAACTTTGGGGAATGAATGTGACTCCACAGCAGTAAAGCATGGAGCGTATCACATCCTCTTTTCAACGAGGTTGTCCTCTCTACTTACTCCTCCTGTTTGTCTGCGACCAAGTATCGACCTCCCCCAAACATTACTGCCCTCTGTCGCCTTGCCCAATGCGATGTGTAAAGATTGTCTGCGTACCGGCCATACTTTAGGCAGGTAAACATTCTCTTCATCGCGACACAGCAGTATTGCAGGGACAACGACGCTTTTGAGAACGAAAGGGCCCAGCGTGAGAGCCGTTGTAGACGTTTTATAGCGCAAGTGCATGCAATAAACATCAACTTTTATAACCAAACACAGGTTGAACAAAACGTACCGCTGCCCAGAGCACCATCACCGGGGAGCGGTTGATCTTGATCTCGACTTGGGCGAGTTGCTCATCCGAGAGCGAAGAACACGGAGGCTCAGGCGCGCGCTCAGCAGCCGCTGCAAGGGTTTTGTCCGCCCCCGACACCGATGGCCTTGCTCTCTTGCTGGTGGTACTGCCGCTTTCATTGGATGCGCTTCCACCTGCGGAGCGTTTGCCTCCTTTGCCGAATATCTTGGCGCGAATCTTTCTCCTAAAAGGATACATACGAGGTGAGGCACACATGAAATTTGACACACTTCGTTGTCGCACCGTAACCCGGGTGACCAAGAATGAAACCCATATCTCAGCGTCTCTCGGAAGACACGAAACTGAACGCTGACTCAAGCCGTGGTTGCCCTCTAGCGTGGTATGGGCAGTAGAGCCAAGCACCGTGGTCTGAATGTACACCGATGGCGATTGGCGGGAAAACGGGAAAACACGCAAAACTGCATGCGGCGGGATTCGACACATGAAAAACATGAACTGAAAACAGTTCATTCCGTTCATTCCGGCACCTCCACGTTTTTTAGAAAGTAAATCTCACACTTTGCAGTAGCTACGTGCACGTGCTCTTTTGGATGGGTTAATTACACATCGGCTAGCCATTCGGCAAACGAGCTTACAGCGAGGGCTTGTCCGTGACTGTGTCGGCCAACCGGTCTTCACCCAACGAGGCGATGCCATCGGAATCCCGCACTCCAGCCGCTGCCAAGGCGCTCACGAGGGGCATGGCCTTACCCACAGGGATTTTGGCGTCCACGAGCCATCTGAGGATACCCTGTACGTCCATCTACCTTCTTCGGGCATGAGTGAGAGACAGGAAAGAGTGGCGGGGGGCGGGAGGGAGAAGAACGAACAAGAGATACCAAAAAGAGTCGGTGGTGGGAAGCCAGCGGTTTGCTGGGGGCACCGTGATACGATCGGAGATCTGGGAGATTGCGCGTACAGTGGCGGGTTGATGCATCATCCGATCCGCGCTATATCTGCTCTATGCCCATGTACGAAGTATGTCAGACGCGCGACTAGACCACCTCTACCGGCCACCGCTCCATCCTGGATGCTCCTGCGACTCAATCCCGTCCGCCTCCTCCATTGCGTTTGCATGTTCATCGGGTGTGCGGTGCTTCGCATTCCCAACGAACCATTTTCGTGCACAGATTTCTTTTACGCCCAAGGCACAGCAGTTCTACATATCTGAGTCGTTCCTCGTCCGTTAGGACCGACGAGGAGTGAGCATGAATCCCACTCATGACGCCGGGGAGCCGCAATGTGAGAATACTGCCACCCAATGGATCATATCGCGATATGCGTGCTCACCATGCTACATGTGTAATAACGTGTAGTTTGTAGTTTGTAGTGTAGGCTAGACTTTGGGCCTGCGTTTGTTTGCATGAACCCACATGATGACCGATTGTGAATGTCATGCGCCGCTCACACACCCACCAAGTTACGAGTCATCAGACTAGGCGACTGGAGAAGCGCTTTGCATCTCTGGTCACCGAGCAGGGCGGAGACCCTCGTACAATCACGAAAGGAGCTTTCTGTTCTCAACCGGAGGTAGGTGTGGTGGTGTGCCTATTGGGAGTCGCTGTTCGATCTTTCTCTGCTGTTACCAAAAAGATTGCCTCTACGGGACCTATAGAGTTCCGAGCCTTGCGTTCTGCAGTTTTCCGTCCATTGATGGCGCCGCTTCAGTTTCTGACTGCGGTCTTGTGTATTTCCTAGCTGGAGCTCCGATACAGAGCCACAGGTAAGGTTCCTCTCCCCTTATGGGGTGTCCTGATGCGGTGCTTGCCATTCGTTCGTATGTTCGTGTGAACTACAGCAGTAGTCTACAGCAGTAGTGGAGTTGCGGTACGAATATACGATTAGACTTACCCGAGAATCCTATGATAGCAGAATCTCTACGTCATTCCAGAAAAATGTACATCAGTTTTGGAAGTCGAATTGCAGGTATGGCGTGGCGACACGGGGGGCACGCCTAGAACACCGTGGAGTGGTCACATGTCATGTATTAATGCCCCGAATTGTTTCATGCACACCATGTGTGTGCCGACCTGTAGGCCTCAACATCTCTGTGTAGATTTTCTTGCTGGGTACGACCACTCGAATGGTTTCTCCCTGACACCAGGCATGCACAACCACTCACTCTGAGTGGACCACAATTATTTTTCAACCGTTCTAAGAACACCGCCTGATGCACTGAGCAGTCCCGCTGCAGTGACTCTGCCGTACAATAGAAGGTTCCCACAACTCGCGCGGTGTGGAGCAGGTATCGACAAACGTGTTCGTGGGAGCGTACATTGACAAACTCCTTCTGGCACCAGACAAGAACCACGGAACAGCATCAGGCCATTCAATCGGTGGTGGTTCCAGCGAAGATAGTGGAGAGCACCAACGAGACAGTGGAGCAATAACGCCTGGACATAGCCGGGCCGGCCTCACCTACGAACTCTTCGTTCACACATTTTGGGTATTTTCTGCTTGGGGTTCCAGAGCGGAGAAAGAGAAAGGTGAATGATTGCGTGAAATGTGCCCGCGTTTCGGGCACATGCCTTCTTGATACGTAGGTCCTATATAGTGCCAACGTTCTGCTCTCGGCACAAGACTCTCTTGGGATACCCGCCCGCCCGTAGACAAACATAAAACGGGTTCGGCCGGAAAGACCAGGTTTGAGAGCTTGGGGATTCTACGATACTTTCCCCTTGTATACCTGCACCATAGTTTTAACTCGTTGCGCGCACTTTCCTGTCCTCGTTTACGGATGAACGTTCCCCTATGAAAAATAAACAGTCGTCGAGACTCTCTTGGAGCCGGACGAGAACGGCTGGGTTGGCCGCCCATCAATGTTGCGGTTCGTCAGGTATATGCTACCGTCCGCGCCAGACCAAGGGTTGGAGGCCGTGGTCGACGATCTCACCCGTTGTGCGTTTCAGCAGGACAGAAAAGCGAAGGGTGGCGACATGGAAAGCGGCGGTAGCACCAGTAGCGGCGTGTTTATCGGAAAGCTCCTGAGTTCATCAGACTTTGTCGACAGGCTCACAATACGTATGTGATTACCACACACAACAATGCACCGCTTTTACTCCTTTGTTGTTTCTCCAGAGCGATAATCATGAGAAGAGCTTTTGGTTGTCGCCCATCTCTACCAACTGCCGCGTTCTGACATCTCCCAGGGGCCATTGGAAGGGTAGCCGACACGAAGAGAATACAGGAGGATTGATGAGTATTGACGCGCGTGCTCGTAGTGGATCCTGCTCAGAGGTTTCAACGTCAATGCCCTACCTATAGTAGGCGTTCCACATCGTATCGACCCAAGCTGTTAAGTAGTTGTCCTGGAGAGGCCTTCAGTTTCCTTGAACCTCCCCGCTGCCTCGGCCGGGACAGCCAGCAGCTTAGCTTGTCCGGCCCTGCTGCTGAATATGGCCTCCTTCTCCATCTTCTTCTCGTTCCACTTGGTTGGGCCGCACCGTGCTCTCAAGGACGTCGGTCGTGAGCACTGAGCTTCGCACAAGGACGTCGACAAAACGATTGCGCGTCACATGTTGGCAGTGCTTTTCAGGCCGGCCCTGAGTCCGTGCGGACTGGGTACTCCTACACAACAAGCACAGACAGGCAGTCCTGCCTACTAGGTATTCCTCCACCAACTCGGTTGACCCCATCTCAAGACGAAGTGTCCGGGAGCGATTATATCGGACGTTGTTTGTAACTAGTGGTTGGAAGTGATGCTTGCATGATGATCACCAGCTCCACCAGGCGGGGACACTGTCTCCATCTGTGGCGTTGTAGTTGCCATGTTTTTGTGTTTTTTTAGGAAGCTGTGTGTACATCATTCCATCCCCTGAAGAATAGCTTTCCTATGTGTTTGTATCCACACTATCCCTTTGTAACGCGTACTTTCCTTGGGTGCTGATCTGTCAGAGAGCGCCCCTCTTGCCTGCTGGGTAGGATACATGTAAATAAATGCCAACCTTCGATTTCAACGTGATGCGAAGGAGGGGAGCTGAGCCCATTATACTATCCAATGACTGGGCGTTGTTGGACGGTCACAGAGCCTCCGTACTTAACAAAAGGATGACTTGTCGGGGTTGAGCGAGGGGGAGGGGCGTCCACTCAGCTTCAGAAATTCACAAATCAATTAATCGATTCGACGGCGGCAGGCAGAAGCGGGGTTTCATCCACAGGAAGAACCCTCCTGCCTGTAAGTAACTCTGGATCGGAGGAACATCGTCAGAGGCTGGCTGTGGCTGAATGTGCGAGTGGGCCCGCAATTAAGTAACGTACACGTCGGGCCCAGGGTTACAATTTCTTATTTCTTCACCACCGTCGGGGACAGGTTGCTCTAGAGACTGCTCGTAAGTGGTACCTGGGATAGGAGCGATCGCGGTCCAGCTCTCCTGTAGATTTATCTTCATCGTATTTTCATTTGTTGTCTTGAAAATAGGAGCACAAATCAAGAAAAATACTTCTTGTGCAGGCCCGACCTGTATGTAGCACAGAGGTAAAGCGTGTAACTGCTACTTAATGCGGATGGAAACACCGGAGATTATGATTAAACTTGAGGGAGAAGGTCGGCTTAGCACCCCTTCCTTGTGAATTGCGATAGAGATGTAGATGTATGTGTAGACTATGGTAGTTGAAGTGAACAACCGGCGGCGGGATATAGCAAAACCTGTATGTACCCACCTATCTGCGTGTCCCCTACGATGCAAGTTGTGCAACTTCTCTCGGCAACAGCAAGTGTGGCGCCGTGTTGGCTCTACCTACTCTTGGTCTCTTCCGCCTTTGAATCACCCCCGCCGTCATCGGGCTGTGGACGACTCCCTGCGTCCTGGGTGGTGGTTGGGTTCTTTGTTGTGACGTTCCGTAGAGAGTGAAGCGGCGCGATCGACAGAGAAGAGCCAGGGTTGTTGTTGGGGCGGCCAGGTTTCCTCTCGCGCTCTCAGGAGGGGGTTTGCTTGGAGGACCGCGCACAATACACGTCAAAGGTGAGGGAACCATGTCATGAAGTCGACCTTCTTCTCTATCGTTCGGGCAAACCGTGGGAGATCACTGGCGTGCGTCATCAGGCTGTTGTTTTGCTGGACTAGTTTGGTTATGTAGGTTCCGCCTCCTTTTCCCCCTAGATTATCTCCGTTCGCTGCTCAAGCACGCAGCGTCCCACTACGTATTTCACACACAAAACAGCAGCGCGGTCCAGGAGACCACAACTGTCGTCACTGATGGTTGTCTCCATCAGGCGGTGGCGTGTTGGTCTGTAGCAACCAACGGCATCAGTTTGATGGTGGCAGCCCACGTTTGGGCACAAAGTCTTACCTCCGCACCGCTGTTGACTCCTTTCGGCACTGCTGCTCACAGCGCAAGTAACTCTCACGGTCGGCACACTTGACTGGCCTTCGAAACTCAGTATTGTAAATATCGTTTCATGAGCGGCGTGTCGCATGCATATAGATGCATACATCAAATTCGGAACCTTATCCTTAGTAGCTCTTATCCTCGCAGTAGACGTTGACATCGGCGCCAACGAAGAAACCGTGCGCCCAAGTGCCGGGAATTGAAAACACCTGCTTATACGGGGTCTTTGTATCCAGTGGCTGTTGCATACCTGCCGACTTCCATGTAACAGCAGTTGTAGGTGTCCCTCCGTTCTTCTCCCCGACAACGCAAAACCCGCAGATACGTATGTACATTTACAAACGGCAAACGCCCGTTTGGGGCACCGGCCCTTCCGTAGAGCAGTACCAGAGCAAACTTTTTGGTAACGGACAACGGCAATGGCAGCAAGCTAGAGCCATGAATTCTCCCGAAGGCGACGGCCCGACTTTTATGGATTACTACCCTACCTGACTATTTTAGTACTTACTTGTGCTGTGTGTGCTTCGCGTCCCATTTATTCTGGCGTCATTCTGAACGGGACGATAGAGCAGTCTGCCTACATCTTTCGGCTTCTACTTGGCGTATCTGCCTGAGTCACGCAGGAGAAAGGTAGCACGGGACTGTACATTGTGTGAAGAATGCCCAAGGAGCAAAGTGTACTTTGCCCGCGCTGTGTCCCCGAGAAACACCACGCTTATTCGCAGCTACTTCTCCCACCGCTCCTACGTAACAAACGGATCACTGCTGCATACTTATCGGACAAAATGCTCGCCGGGCAGGAGCGACAACAATACGGAGGCGGGACTGAACACGTTTAGGCGTTCGAGCTTTTGCCGCGCTGGCTCGCGCTCGGTATGTCGTCATCGTCGTCCTCATCCTTCAACGACTCCTGGAGGGATGCGGTGTCCCGCTCCAAGTCGCGGAGATCGTCGTCCTCCGCAGCCTCATCAAAGTCGACCACGTCAACCGCCTCGCAGACCAAGGCTAAGATAGCCGACACCGCTGCCGCCGCCGCCACCGCCGACGCCACGGCTGCGCCGCCGTCGTACGCGACTACGTCGGCCAAGCCCACCGTCGCCACCACGCGCCAGACCCAGCCACAAGCCAACCAGCGCTTCTCTCAGTACCTCGCCCGCTTCAACATGAGCCCGAGGCAAGCCGTCGCCGCGGCCATCTCCTCGCCACGGCGAGGCGCCAAGAGCTTGTCAAACAACGTTTTTTTTGCGATCGGCGGTAGCGGCGGCAGCAGCAGCAGCCGTGGTGGCGGTGGCGGCAGCAGCAGCGGCGGCGGCGACGGCGGCGTCAACGGAGATGACGGCAAGGCAGGAGGGACCCGGTTACCCCGGCGACAACGGGACTGGGAACGGAAAGCGAAAGGATCATCCCCGCCGCCGCCGCCGTCCCTGCTGCCGCTCACGGGCCCGTCGGCGCTGGCGGCGACGATAAACAGCACCCTGACCGTCACGACCGGAAGAGCGGCCGGGGAGAGGGCGGCGGGGGAGAGCATCACCACGTCGGATTCGTCGTTCACTAGCGACAGCCTTAGCGGCAGTGGCGGCGGCGGTGGCGGCGGCGATGGTGGTGGGTTTGGCGTCGCCACGGGGGACGACGGCGATGTCACTCCCCCTCCGGGCCACTCGTTGCCGTGGGAGCACCCCCCGGCGTCGCCGCCGCCGGCGTGCATGCCGAACCTCCACCAGTCCAGCGGTAGCGAGGGCCCCAGCGGGAGCGAAGACGACGAGGGCTTCGGGATGGGCGGCGGCAGCATCGAGTACCGGAAGTTTCTGCTGCGCAGGTCCACCTCATCGGCGGGGGCCAAGGAGACCGCCGCCCGCGTGTCGACGCCGGGCAGAAGAGGCCTGGGCACCGGCAGCGATAACGTCGAGCGCAAGAAGTTTCTGCTGCGCAGAGCGAGCTCGTCGGCTGGCGAAAACGATACTGCCGGCGGGTCGTCGTCGCCGCCCGTCGGAGGGACGGCCGCCGGCTTGCCGAGCACCTCGGCCTCCCGTCGACCCGCCAACAAGGGCAAAGGTGGGTTGAGATCAACGGGGGCAACGGCCGCGGCTGCGGCCGCGGCGGCAGCGGCGGCAGCGGCGGCAGCGGCGGCAGCGGCTGCGGCAGCACCGGAAGCTCC